AGGGATTTCCGAACATACCAGGGGCCGTAAGGTATGCTTCCCCGAAGGGTTAGGGGACGAAAGTTCCTTTAAATTTTCTCTGTAGTCCCAACTGGGATTGTCCTGATAAAGGGCCTACATCTAATATATGTGTGTAGCTTAAAGTAAGCATGCATTGAAAATAAAGAAACAGTATCGTTCAAAACAAAAAATTTAAAGGGACTTTCGTCTGGGCGCACGCATAGTCGGTCGTCCGACAGCAACGATCGCAACTGTCTGACTGTCTAACTGCATCTAATCGTCGAATACTCAGGCAAGTCCGACGATCGATACGCATCCAATGCTGTGCGACAGTTACGATCGTTGCTGTCGTCCGACCGACTATGCGTGCGCCCAGACGAAAGTCCCTTTAAATTTTTTGTTTTGAACGATACTGTTTCTTTATTTTCAATGCATGTTTACTTTAACCTACACACATATATTAAATGTAGGCCCTTTATCAGGACAATCCCAGTTGGGAAGACAGAGAAAATTTAAAGGGATTTTCGTCCCCTAACCCTTCGGGGAAGCATACCTTACGGCCCCTGTTTTTTCATGACCAGTAAGTCGTTTTTGCTCCATTTATTGGTAGGGCTCAATGATAATGATCTTTTCTGACTTTCTTTTTCTTCTACTTTTGTACTTGTTGAATGAGTTTCTAGTGAAGGGTGGAGTAGCAGGGTTGGGTCTATTCCAGTTAGGGGGGCATCATGATGCAGTTTCTCGGCGAACTAGTGTGAACTCGAACATTCCAGCTTTTCACGCATGTCAAGTGACTGCCCTCACCCCCACCCCCTAGACTGGCTACACTCCCCCTGGCTCGGAGTTACCCTAGCTTTCTGGAAAAACTGCATCATGATGCCCCCCCTAACTGGAAGACCCGCAGGGCTTTCCTGATGAACAGTTTCGGGGAGAGTTAAGCAACCTTTCCATAACTCGGCTTGTGAAGAAGGTCGTTGCATAGATTCGGCCTCTGCCTCGCTTGACCTTGGTCCGGAGGTTTATCGCAACACGCAGGCTTCTCGCCATAACGCGGGAAGCAGTCAAACATACTTTAAGCCAAATTGCACTTTTCTGCTGTAAATGCTATATCGCTGCGAAATGCTAGCGCTTCAGTAGCGCAGTCGGAAGATTTTTAACAGTAGTTGTAGAAAGGGAAACGTTAGTTTTGTGCTACTTAATACGGGTAGCTGCGCATAGTTTAGGGACTTTGCGGATAGTTGGGAAGGAATTTATGTGAGTGGGATGGGAATCCCAGTCATCCGATAACACACACATGAGCGAAATTTTTGAAGCATGATCGGTGTTCGGAAATGTGGCATTAGCAGCGGACGTTCCCCTCCCCTCAGGTCGTTTATTTGTTAGTAAACCTGTCGGAGG